TTAAGCAGAGAGACCATCTGTTCACTCCAGGTAAAGCTGTAATTGGCAGGTGTATGAGCCAGCGCCACCCACTGGTGGGCCCTCCCCCTGTGGCCTCTAACAGATATACAAGTAAACAATCCACCAGCCACTTATGACCACCGCAGGCAGCAGTCCCAGGAGGCAAGGCAAGCTAATCAAACATTCAAGGAGGAACACAACAGACTCTGGCACTGGGGTAAAATGTTTTGCTGAAGTACAGCCAGGAAGGGGGAAGGTTTAAATAATCACCCTCTGCTTTTCTCTCCCAAAATATGTTCACATTTTAATCCTTTCACTGACTGTCTGCGGCTGGAGCTATTAACTGGTCCTTGTATTAGTTTCTAATCCATCTTGTTTTTGGCTCAAAGCTCTTGTGGAACTCTTGAAGTCACTAAATGATTGCACACAAAAATTATCTGTGTCTCCTTGCCACTTAGAAGTGGGTCTAAACATGCTATTTGTGAGAAGACAAATCAAACGACTTTGGTCACTTCCTTTTTTCCAGTCTCTAATTGATAGCACACATCTACAACTATCCCAGTCTGTGGCTTGCTTTAAAACTAAGGAATCTGAGAGATAAGGGGAGGTTGGTTTTATGGCTGGAGTCCTCAGGACCCTGTAATACTTGAGCCTGGTCTGGTCTCCCTCCCCTGGTGAGATGCCAACATAACAGAGACTCCCACAGCAACATCTTCAGTGTCTCGCCCCTATGTTCTGGGTGTGGATGGACACATGTTCACGTGGATGCCCCCGGTCACCTCAAATTCAACAAGGGCAAAACAACACCTGTTAGAAAGTACAGTGGGGAGCAGTGGTGTAATGGTAAGCATTTAGCAACTGGTTTGGGAAGGGGTGTTAGTGGTGGTGGTGGAGGGAAAAGCTCTGATTTGTAGTGTTTGCCAATTTCCAAGGTGCAAAGTCTCCAACTAGAGTCAATTTTCAGTTAACATGGTGAAGTCATTAAAAGCCAGATTGAGAAGAAATGCATAGAACTGGTTTCTGTGAGACCTAGTAGGAGACAACCCCCAGATACTAGGGCCAGGAGATACCCTTGGCTCATCCACTTCCTCATGCCTCGCTAACTGATCCCCCGAGCTTTTATCCATCTGTTGTGCTAAACGCCACCCTGCACAGGAGCCTCCATCTGATCTTCCCATGCCCACTAGTGTCCCCACCCACCCAATGTCCACAAAGTAGCCAGTGGTGTTGTTGTTTTGTTTTTTTTTAAAGATTTATTTTATTTATACAAGAGCTGGGGTACAGGCCAGAGGCATCGGGGGGTGAGAGAATTCACCAGAGACAGAGCAGGGAACAGAACAGGCAGACGGACTAAAGACACTGCTGAGGGGAGCAGCGGGCGAGACCGGAGAGGTCTGTTGCGCCATGTGGGAATCTCCCTGGCCGGCTGGGAATCGAACCAGCGCTGCAGAGGCTGCGGACAGCTTCACAGCACTGCGCTCAACCCACTGTGCCACTGGGGAGCCCTGTTGTTGTTGTTGTTTTTTTTAATACAATTCCCCTCTTAGATATCTATTCCAAATAAATGAAAACCTACATCCACACCAAAACTTGTACTTCGCTGTTCACAGCAGCATTACTCACAAGATTCAAAAACCACAAAACACCTAACTGTCCATCAACTGATGAATGAATAACCAAAATGTAGTAGATTTATAATACAGGATATTATTCAGCCATATAGAAGAATGCAGTTCTGATACATGTTATAACACAGATGAATCCTGAAGACATTATGCTCAGTGAAAAATGCCAGTCATAAAGGACCACACAATTGTATGATTTCTTTTATATGAAATGTCCAGCTGAGACAACTCTACTGACAGAAAGCAGAGTAGAGGTTGCCAGGGGGTGGAGAGGATACAGACCTTACATTTTTCACAAAAATTAACTTAAAATGTATCAGACTTAAATGTAAAACACAAAAACTATAAAATTCCTAGAAGATATCATAAAAGAAAACCTAAGTGACCTTTTTTTTTTTTTAAAGATTTATTTATGTAGGAATACAAGAACTGGGGTATGGGTCAGAGTTGTGGGGAGTGAGAGGATTCACCAGAGACATAGTGGGGAACAGAACAGGCAGATTGACCAAAGTAAACTGCTGAGGGGAGCAGTGGGCGAGTCAGGAGAGGTCTGCTGCACTGTGCTGCAGTGGCTGCAGCGAGCTTCATAGGTTGCATCTTAACCCCTTGCGCCACCAGGGAGGTCCCCTAAGTGACCTTCTTAGATACAACACCAAAAGCATTAACCAAGAAAGAAAAAATTGATGAGATGAATTCATTAAAATTGAAAATTTTTGCTCTTCTAAAGACAGTTAACATAATGAAAAGCAAGTCACAGAAAGAGAGCAAATCTGGGGCCTCCCTGATGGCCTTGGGGTTAAGTTTCAGCGCTGTCACCACTATGGCCTGAGTTCTATCTCTAGCCAGGGAGCTAACCCACATATTGTGCAGCAGACCTCTCCTGTTTTGCCTGCTGCTCCCCTTAGCAGTGCATTTCAGTAAATCTACCTGTTCTGCTTACCACTGTCTCTGGTGAATCCTCTCACTCTCACCCCCTGTATGTGGGGACTACATACCAGTTCTTCTACGAAAAAAAAAAAGAGCAAATCTTTTCAAAATATAAAGGCTGATAGCCAAAATGTATAAAGAACCCTTAAAACTCAACAAAAAGAAAACAAAATATCCAATTTTTTAAAATAGGCAAAAGTTCTGAATATGCACTTTACTAAAAGATATACAGATGGCAAATAAGCATATGAAAAGATGTTCATATTTCATCAGAAAATTGCAAACCAATACAAGAAGATTCTATCATACAATGATTGGAATGGCGAAAGATTAAAAATACTGACAATACCAAATACTATGCTAATGAGGAGGTACAACAGAACTCTCATTTGTTTCATTTGGGAATGCACAATGGTACAGACACTTTGGAAGAAGGTTCACAGAACTAAACATACTCTTACCATATGATCTAGCAATTTTGCTCCTTGGTATCTACCCAAAGGAGGTGAACACTTATATCCACACAAAAACCTACATATAATGCTAATAGTAGTTGTATTGATAATTGCCAAATCAGAAGCAACCAAGATGTCCTTCAACAGGTGAGTGCATAAACTGGTACATCTACATGATTACCTAAAAGGAAATGAGCTATCAAGGAGGAAACTTAAGTGTTTATTACTACAGACAGAAAGTTAGCTCTGAGAAGTCAGGAAATCTGATTTGTTCACTGCTGTAACCCTAGCATCGAAAAGAGTGTCTGGCCAAAGCAGACCCTCAATAAATACTTGTGAATAAACGTGCAAAACAAAACCTTTTCAAAAATTTTTGTGTAAGGTCTCCCTGGTGGCACAAGGGGTTAAGATGCAACCTATTAAGCTATCGCCAGCCACTGCAGCACGAGTTCGATCCCCTGCCAGGGAGCTACCCACATGGGCAGCAGACCTCTCCTGTCTCGCCCGCTGCTCCCCTCAGCAGTGTATTTCAGTCAGTGTGCCTTTTCTGCTCCTCACTGTCTCTGGTGAATCCTCTCTTCACACACACACACCTCTGGCCTGTACCCAGTTCTTGTATGCATAAATAAATAAATCTTTAAAAAAAAAAGTTTTTGTGTAGAACTAGGGTATTGGGCAGAGGTGTGGGGGGTGAGAGGATCCACCAGAAACAGAATGGGCAGCAGAACAGATTTACTGAAATACACTGCTAAGGGGAGCAAAGGGCAAGATAGGAAAAGTCTGCTGCGCCATATGGGTTAGCTCCCTGACTGGGGATTGATCTCATGTCGCAATGGCTGGAGACAGCTTGATAATACTGAGACTTAACCCCTTGCACCATAGGGAGGCCCAGTTCTGTCTTCTTAAGTATAAATAGAATTTGAAAACTTCTCATCACCTCCATAATCTGAATCCATAATCCAGAGTTACTCTGCACCTAGATTATTTAAAGTGTCTCCTCACTGGTCACCTTGCTTCTACTCCTGACACCCCCACAGTCTGTTCTCTTTTACATGGCAGTAAGATGGAGCTTCTTAATTCTTTAGTCCAGAGAGCTGCAAATGTCTGTGAAGGGCCAAACAGTAAAATCTTTTCAGAATTGCAGACTACTCAGTCTCAGTTGCAACAACATAACTGTAGAAGCAGTGATAGCAATGTGGCTATGTCCCAATAAAATTTTATTAACAATAGTGGGGCCTCCCTGGTGGTGCAAGGGGTGAAGACGCAGCACTATGAAGCTATCTGCAGCCACTGCAGCACAAGTTCGATCCCCACCAGGGAGGTGAACCACATGGCACAGCAGACCTCTCCAGACTCGCCTGCTGCTCCCCTCAGCAGAGTGTTTCAGTAAATCTGCCCGTGCAGCACTATGAAGCTATCTGCAGCCACTGCAGCACAAGTTCGATCCCCACCAGGGAGGTGAACCACATGGCACAGCAGACCTCTCCAGACTCGCCTGCTGCTCCCCTCAGCAAAGTGTTTCAGTAAATCTGCCCGTTCTGCTCCCCACTTTGTCTCTGGTGAATCCTCTCACCCCCACACCTCGGGCCTACACCCCAGTTCCTCTACCCAAAAATTAAAAAAAAAAAAAGTCATTAGTTGTCCTACTCATGTACAGCCCTCCCTTAAGGGTGTTTGTTCTCCTAACATCAGTTCTCCCTAACATTATGGTTCACCTGTGACCTCCACCACTAAGCCTTGACCGTCCCATATAAAATGACCACTTGCCACTGTTTTTCCTCAAAGGCGCTTGGCATCCCAATTGCTATACAGTCCTGTGTTTACAGTCTGTCTTCTCAAGAGTGTCAGCTTTGTTACCAGCACTTGTAACCATGTCAGACCGGTGGATGCTTGACCAGCAAATCCGACAAATATGCCGGGAGCAGCCCCTGGCATATAAACAGGAGAAGGACCAAGGGGTCTGTTTGGATCTGAGGGCGGGGTTCTTCCTCACCTAGCTGACCGCCGACCTGCTTCTTCTTGGCGGCTCTCCTCATCCGGCTGCTGCTCCCTGCTCTCCCCCAGCAGCAGTGGCTCCTGTTTCTTGCCCTCTGCGTGGGGCATGTTCACCTGTGAGCACAGCGAGCACTCAGGAGGCGCAGTCGGCAGGGCAGAAGTGATTAAACCCCCCCTACTTCCGATTGTTCCATGCCCGGAACCTCGCGTGCTGACTGGAACTCCGCGGCCTGGTGGAGACCCGGAGGAGATGGGCGGGGCTGGGGCAGGCCCGAAGAGTTTGGGGTTGGGGAGACCCCGCGGCTGGGGCCTGGGTGAAGGCAGGGGCTCCAAGGCACCTAACTGGTGTGTGTGTGGGGCGGGGGAGAGGGCCTAGGCCTTCAAGAAATAAGAGGTAGGGGGGGAAAGAAGGGGAACGAGTGCAGTACAGTGCATGGGTGTCTCAACCTCTCTCTGCCCTCTTCCTGCCATGCGCCATGCATGAACGTCGTCCCTGACCCTGGATGTCAGCGCGTGTCAGTCAGAGTGAGCCCTTCAGTCAGTCAGGGTCCGGTAGGTCTGTCAGGAATTCGGGGCCCAATCCGACGAGGGATGGCTCCGATGGTAGGAGACAAGTGGCTGGGCTCGGGTTCACCTGGGAAATCTGAGATTTAGACCGTTCCCTGCCCGGTCGCCCGCCGCCCGCCGCCCGCGACCGAGCGAAGGAGGGAAGCCCGGCATACTCCCTGTCGCTCCATCCCGTCCTTTCCCGCCTTCGCGTTCGCACACTTGACGCATGCGCCGACCTCCACCCCCACCGCCCCGGCCCCACACACTCCTCCTCCTAGCACGTGCGGCGGCGCGCGCTCCTTGCAGTCTTTTTGTAAGACCTGCGCGCGCAGCGGGGCGTGGCTAGCCGTTAAGTGGCGGTTGGGCCGTGCCCCAGCTGCGCGCGCACCCGGCGTCGCAAGCGGAAGGGATGTGGCGGTTTTAAGACCCTAAGTAGGGTAATGCGGAGGACCCTGCTTTCTTTCTTATCTGCGCTTTCCGCAAGAAATGTTTCCGACAAAAAATTTTGACCCTTGCTATTCCATAATGACTTATTGCCTTCAGTGAAGTTTATCCATTTGCCATTTTTTTTTTTTTTTTTTTTTTAGAGGCATGCTTTTATTTATTTATTTGTTTTGTTTATACATGCACTGGGTACAGTCAGAAGCACGGGAGGGTGGGAGAATTCACCAGAGCCAGAGTGGGGAGCAGAGCAGGCAGACTGACGAAGTACACTGCTGAGGGGAGCAGCGGGCGGCAGGAGAGGTCTGCGCGCCATGTGGGACCCTCCTCCGGTGGCCGGGGAGCAGCCGGGGATCGAACCGGTGCTGCAGAGGCCGCGGGCAGCTTCGCAACCCAGCGCTCAACCGCTGCGCCACCGGGGAGGCCCCCATTTGCCATTTTGAATCATTTACTTGTCTGCTCCAAAACAATCATTTGTCTGCTCCTTGACAGCATAGCCCAATCTGGCTCTTCCAGAGCAGTATAAAGTAATAATACCTTAATAGCTAACAATAATAATTGGCACATGAAGAGCCACCAACTGGTAGAAAATATTTGCAATTTTTATTTGCAAATATTCGCAAAAATATGGAAGAACTTATCTTGCATGTACAAAGAACTCCCGCAACTCAGTAAGATACAACCCAATTTCAAAAATTGGCAAGATTTGACAATGCAGGCAAAGGCCCTGAGGTAGGCGCAAAGCCAGTGTGCTTGAGGCCTGTGGGGAGCTGGAGGCGTGGGCAGGGGCTGAGCTGGGACCAATGCAGGGGGTCAGCATTTTGTTCCCACTGACTGGAAGGTGTCCCAGTGAGGGAGGCAGGGCAATCTTCACATTGCTTCGTTCTTGCAGGACACAGGCTGACTGACTAGGGCAGACATTTTTACACCTATATTATGGAGGACGTGGATTTGTTTCTGGGCTCTGCCTCTCAACCAGCATGGATCATAAAACTGCCACCCACTCTCAAAACCCATCTTTGTTATAGGTGTTAACATTCGAAGCCTTGGCTTATGGTAAGAGTTTCAGGGATAAACATCTGGCACCTACTGGGCACTCAGAAGACACGAGCTAACTTAATATTTTATAGCATAGCCACAAATTACACAAAATGCCTGTTTCTAAAGGCATCAGATTGGAAAATCTGTGGATTATCTATCAACAAAAATCCAAACCTATACACACAGATACACACACAATACACAAGATGCAGGATTTTTTTTTAATGGTGTACTGCTGGTATACTTTTGAAAACATCAAATGAAACCATGTCTTGTTAAAATAACATATAGGTAGTAAAAATGTAAAACACACTAGAATAAATACCAACTTCAGAAGAGGGTATTAACGTCAGCAATGTAGAGCAAAGGGAACTAGGACAAGCCCATAGGAATCTTCAAACCCACCACCCGTCACATAAATCTAAAAAATGAAATACCTTAACAGTCAATATTCAGATTCTATCAAACTAGGGGTGGATACTTGGGTGTTTGTTGTATTATGCTTAATATATGTATATATGCTCCACCCGCCTAACTTGCCTTTATTTTTCTATGTGGCCTTTACCCCTCCCACCTTTATTTATCATGTGTATCCTGAAAACTCCCCTCCTTCTTCCCTATATCAACTGCCAACTATGATTTGGCAGCTCAGTTCATGAGTTTTCAGCTTACGAAAAGTGCTGGCACTTTGAAGGTGCACATTTATTGCATGAATATTTTTTCTGTATGATTCAACTGTTTAATTCCAAATAAAAGATTTGATTGAGGAGCTCTCAGGAGATGGGTGCCCATAGTGTCCCAGACCAGCACAGCCCATCACCTCAACTAACTGCCAAATGCCCTGAGTGTGACAGTAGCCTTGAGGTTATTTAAGAAATGGTCCATTTCCAAAATGCAATGCAAAGCTGAGGTATGGGATAAGCCCTCCAATGGCTGGAATTTGCTTTAAAATATTCCTACAGAAAATTAATAGATTAGAAGCTCAGCACAAGACCCCATTCATTGTCCAATATAAGCACTGGGCTCATGGATCTTTGTTCTACTCTGCTATCCTGGGCTCAGCTGAAATTCTTGAAAAAAAAATTTTTAAAAAGAGCAGCATTATTGGGCCTCCCCGGTGGCGCAGCGGTTGAGCGCTGGGTTGTGAAGCTGCCCGCAGACTCTGCGGCGCTGGTTCGATCCCCGGCTGCTCCCCGGCCACCAGAGGAGGGTCCCACATGGCGCGCAGACCTCTCCTGCCGCCCGCTGCTCCCCTCAGCAGTGTACTTCAGTCCTTCTGCCTGCTCTGCTCCCCGCTCTGGCTCTGGTGAATTCTCTTACCCTCCCGTGCTTCTGACTGTACCCAGTGCATGTATAAACAAAACAAACAAACAAATAAATAAAACATGCCTCTAAAAAAAAAAAAAAAAAAAAAAAAAAGAGCAGCATTATTTTTGGTGGCCGGGGGAAGAGGGATAAATAGGGAGAGCACAAAGGATTTCTAGGGCATTGAAACTATTCTGTATGATAGTTATGATGGGTAAGTCATATAATTGTCCAAACCCCCAGAATATACAACACAGAGAACTTCAGTGTTAACGATAGACTCTGAGTAATGCTGCGTGCCAGTGTAGGTTCATCCATTCTAATATATACTCTTCTCTGCAGAGGGATGTGGATAGTAGGGAAGCTATGGAGGAAGGGGGATAGGGGGTATATGGCAAATCTCTGTATTTTCCATTCAATTTTGCTACAAACCTAAAACTGCTGTAAAAAAATATATTTTAGAAAAACCAAATAACCTAGAAAAAGAGGACAGCTTTTAAAAGTTTATATTGTTCCATCCCCTCCAAATGCCAATTAGAGGGAATCCTGGTTCCTGGGGTTCTAACAACAGCCTATCCCTTACCCCCTCCTATATAGCAGGTCCGTTTTGTTTACTTAGATGAGGGCCTGGCACCAGTTGGTGATGAGTAAAAGCTTGATGGAGCCTGTCTTTCCTCAGACATCTGGTTCAGGCTGGCCCAAAGATTCAAGATCCCCCCCCAACCTACCATCCCTCATACCAAGGGCTCCAGCACCCAGATTATCCCCATCAAGTACCTGATAGGCTTCAGAGAGCCAACCAGAGCCCTCCACCCCTAAAGAAAGGCACCAGATGAAGGTGACCGCCTACTTTATTAACTGATAGCTGCCCTCCAGGGCTCCCCATGCTCATCCTCACAAGTAGGCAACAGAACAAAACCACTACCCAATTCCCTGTCCCTGGGGACACTTCAGGAAGAGGAGATACCAGGGGCAGCAGGGATGGCCTCAAAAGGCCTCATAAACAAAGGGTCATTGGCAAGGGATGTTAAGAGCCGGATAGTAGGGACTTGGGAAGGGAGGCCTATCCATGGCAGCCCATGTCATACAGCCTCCTGTGTCCTCGGAGGTCCTGATCCAGCATCTAGGCGGCACAGAGGACTATCATACACCATCTGCAGGTTCACCTTGTGGCCCACCAGCTCCCGGATGTTGTTGATACCGTATTTGATCATTGTTGGGCTTGGGGGGAAGGAAGAGACATGGTTTAACACCTCAGGCTCTCATCGGAATTTTTAAGGGCTCCTACTTCCTCAGGAGAAAAGCCCAAGTCCTCCCAGAGGTCCTGCACCATCTGCTGTCACCTCCCCACCCTCATCCCATTTCCCTCCTTCTCCCCTCTCTTTAGCCTCCATGCTATTCTTCAAACACAGCAGACATGCTCCAGCAGCAGGATCTTTACAAAGGTAGTTCCCTCTGCCCTTACCTAAATATTTCTGGCTCACTTTTATCCACCTCCAGTCTTTGCTTAGATGCTACCTCCTCTTCCAGGCCCTCCCTTGCTACCTTGTCTCCTTAGCCTTGCCTGTCATGTTTTCTCTATGACATTTACTGTCTTTGAAGCACTTCAGGCTTTTTTGCCGAGTTAACTTATTTATATGGCTAATGATCACTTTTCTCACTTTCTGGAGCAGACCTGGGTATACAGTAAGTGCTCACTAAAGGTTTGTTGAATAATGAAAATGAATTGACAGCACCCAAGTTCACCTCAGTGAGGCAGGCAGACACACTCACCGCTCCAAGGAGAGACCCCAGGCAATGACTGACACATTGTCAGGGAGCCCCATGGGCAGCAACATCTCAGGGCGGAAGAGACCAGAGTTCCCGACCTCCACCCATTTCTTCAGGCCTGTGGTGTGGGAGGAAGATGGAGGAGCTCATGTGGGTGACACTGGGCCTGGCAGTTAGCTCAGAAGGCAGGGTATAGGCTTGAGTGAGGAGATTGGGGCTGAGCTGTGGGCAGCCTGAGACTTCCCTCCCACCCTGGTTCAGACCCAGGCTCCATCCTGACCTTGGTGGTAGCTGAACACCTCCATGCTGGGTTCTGTGTAGGGGTTGTAGGCCGGCTTGAAGCGAAGCTGGGTGATACCTGGGTAGAGAAAGCAGGCAAGCAAAGGGGTAGAGGATAAGGCTAGTGATCAAAGAGGCACCCTTCTGTGGCCCTACCAACAAACCCTAGCCCTGGCTGCCTGCTCACCCAGCTTGGTGAAGAACTCCCGCAGGACACCCATGAGGTGGCCCAGGGTAAGGCCATAATCAGCCACAACACCCTCAATCTGGTGGAACTCAGCCAGGTGTGTGGAGTCCAGGGTCTCGTTCCGGAACACGCGATCAATGGAGAAATACTTGACTGGTGTGAAGGGCTTCTAAAGATGACAAGCAGACCCAGCCAGGAATGGACCAGAAGATTGTTGTGACAGTCACCTCCCTGCTGCCCCATGCCCACCCCCAGCTGCTCAAGCCAAGCCAAACCTTCTGGGCAAGGCGGTAGAGAGCTCGGGCACTGGCTGATGTGGTGTGTGTGCGCAGCAAATTTTTCCGGGCTTCTTCCAGCTTCCAGTTGTATTTGTACCTTTAGGAGAAAACCCTGGAAGTCTGTGATGTGGTCTTTGGACCCCAAACTCCTTCACAACACCCCCAAAGTCCTGCTTCACTCACCCCTGTGAGCCATAGCCACCTTGGGAATGGGTCCGCTTGACCCGACTGACATAGTCCATTGGGAGCTGCGGGGCCTCGGCCGGATCTGGGCAGGAGAGATCATAATGTGGTCAGTTAACGGGCTTTTCTCCAACCACCACCAATAGGTGTGTGACCCCCCTGACCTCAACCCTGGGAACCTGGGAAAACCCAAGTCAGTCCCATCCCTCTCTGCCCAGAACCCTCAAGGCTCTCACCTTCGTGTAAGAGAAAAAAAAACAAAAGTCCCCAGTGGTCATAACATAGGGCACACTGTCCTATCACCTACCTGTCCTCATCTCTTCCTGCTCCTAACAGGGCCTACTGCCTGATGTGTGAGAATACCTTTGCACTGGCCATTCCCTCTGCCTGGAATCTCCCTTTCTCAGATATAGATCTCTACCTCCCCTCTACTGTCTTCCTTTAAGCAAATATTTTACTTTAAATGGACAGCTCACCCCCTCAAACACACGGCATTTACCACCATCTACCCCACTGGAGAGAATGCTCAGAATTTAACACACTCTCTAACCAAGCTGCAGATCTCACTAGGGGAAGAACTTTCATCCTGTGCATGGTTGTGACCCCGGTGTGTTACAAAGACCTTGCCATAAAGGAGGGGCTCAGAACCACTTCTCATGTGAATGTACAAATTTTTTTAAAAGATTTATTTATTTATACAATAACTGGAGTACAGGCCAGATATGCAGGAGGGTAAGAGGATTCACCAGAGAAAGAGTGGGAAACAGAACAGGCAGACTGACAAAATACACTGCTGAGGGGAGTAGCGGGCGAGACAGGAGAGGTCTGCTCACCATGTGGGTTGCTCTGCGGCTGGTGGGGATCGAAACCGGCACTGCAGAGGCTGCAGACAGCTTCACAGTGCAGAGCTCAACCGCCTGCGCCACCAAGGAAGGCCCATGAATGTGCAAATTTTTTTTTAAAGATTTATTTATTTATGCATACAAGAGTTGGGGTGTAGGCCAGAGGCTGAGTGGATTCACCAAAGACAGAGTTACAGAACAGGCAGATCCAATGAAATACACTGCTGAGGGAAGCAGCCGCCAAGGAAAGGTCTGCTGCAACATGTGGGTTACCTCCCTGGCTGGGGATTAAACTCGTGCTGCAATAGCTGCTGATTGCTTCACAGTACTGCAGGTTTTTTTTTTTTTAAAGATTTTTTTTTTATTTATACAAAGAACCGGGGTACAGGTCAGGTGCACTGGTGGGTGAGAGGATTCACCAGAGACAGAGCGGGGAACAGAACAGGCAGAGTGACTGAAATATACTGCTGAGGGGAGCAGCGGGCAAGACAGGAGAGGTCTGCTTCGCCATGTGGGATTCTCACTGGCTGGCCAGGATTGAACCTGCGCTACAGACGCTGAGGACAGCTTCACAGCGCAGAGTTCAACTGCCTGCGCCACCAGGGAGGCCCAGTATTGCGATTTAACCCCTTGCACCACCAGGGAGGCCTGGTGAAAGTGCAAATTTTTAAGATCCTCTTCAAGGACACAATTTTGGTGTGCCTGAAAAGCCTGATGGAATCCCAGCTCCACTACTTACAAACTGAGACTACTCAACCCCTTCTTAAAAAGGAGTTAGCAGCGCCATTTTCTCTAGCTAACAGGAAGACCAGAACAGTAAATGGAACATTTTGGGCGTTGGGATTGTGACCACAGCAATGACAATATGCTCCCAGTCTAGTAATAGGCATTTAATGGCCTTTTCTATCCTCCTTCTTCCACCACCTGTGGGGACATGACAATCACTGGAAAATCATTAAATATAATAGTACCAAAGACTTTGTAGTCCTTTTTTCTTAAAAGGAAACAGAAACCAAGATTGAAGACTAGGACTGAGGAGTTTTTAGAACTTGGGGGGACAAGAAGCATGTCAAGGTGGTCTCTCTGAGGTGACACTTGAGCAGAGGTTTGCTGTCAGATCTAGCCTTGAAGATCTGGGAGAAGACAATTCTCAGTAGAAGGTAAACATGGGCAAAGGCCCTGTGGTGGGCAGGGGGGAAAGTGGGAGATCAGAGGTAATGGAACCAGCTCACACAGGCACCATTGGATTGATGAGGATTCAGTTGATAAGTCACCCCGAAAGCCTCCATCCAAATCTGGCAACTCTGATGGGACAACTAGGCCCACAGGGCTCACCCACCTCGCAAGAAGAAGGTATCATGCTGGTCTCGTGCTGGGTGCTGCTGAGGTTGGAAAAGAGCATCGAAATTCCAGAAGGAGCTCTCGATGAAGTTGTCAGTGGGCATCTCAGTGAATCTGGTGGGAGAGGCAGCCTGATTGCCCTGCCTGTGCCTAGCCACTGGACAGCCCTACCCCCAGCGCAGTGCCTCACCCCATCTCCAGGAAGATCTGCCGGAACTGTGTGCGGACCTTGAGCAGAGGGTGTAGGTGGCCACTGTCTGGGAGGACGCCATGGGCCAAGAAGTTGTAGGGCTTGAAGGGCCGATCCCTCCAGGAGCCACTGTGGGGTTGGTGCAAGGTACATGAAAGCCTGATGGGAATGCTCATAACCTTCCCACCTATTCCTGATCCCAGGCGATACCCCCTACCTGGAGATCATCTCTGGGCTCAGTTCCGTCTCCTGTTTGGAGATAGTGGTGCTGAAGGCACTGCCTTTACTCACCCAATAGGTCTTCAGGGTCCTGTGGCCAGAGGAGAGGGAATACCACTGATCAACTTCCTTGATCCCCTATCTGATGCTACCCACCATTTTCTTCCTGATGTTTGCTATCACCTGAAATCTTATTTGGCCACCAAGTATGTCTCTCTGTTCAGTCACTTTTTCATTCAACACATACTTATTGAGAATTGCTGTACCAGGGCCTGACCAAGACATGAAGCATACTGTTGGGAAGGATACCAATAGGTTCAATTTAGAGGATTTATTCTAAACTTATTCCAGCCTCTGTTTCACTGAAGTCACCTCACAATTTTGTAAAAAGGGTCCATTTTGCAAATGAGGAAACAGACCTATAAATAACAGGGGACTGGGTCAAAATCACATAGCTAATCCATGTCAGAACTGGGATATGGATGAGGGAACCTGCCTCCAGTTTGTTTTATAACCATGTTACTCAGTATCTACTTAAAAGGAAGTAAGTCCTATGACAGCAAGGACTCCAGCCTGTCCAGGTCCCAGGATGCAGGCTGCTGTGGAGTCAATCAATTTCACACAGTGCTTAGGACTGTACAAGAAATAAACAGACCACAAAGGATAAAGAATAAAAGTGAGGGACTTTTGTGGAACTCAAAAGGAAACAAAGGTGTCAGGGTAGTCACTAAGGTGACATACAAGCAAGGGTTTGATGCTGAAGCCTGGCATGAAGATCGATGGGGGAAAAGTTCTCAGCAGAAAGAGCAGCACTGACAAAATCCCTGGGATACATGCATGACAACCATAGTGCAAAGCCAGGTTGGGAGAGGATAGTCAGCTCATGGCTGGTAGGAACAGCTACTTCCCCCACCAAAATGCCTCTCCCCCAACTCCAGGCAGTACCCACTCACACTTCCGTGAGTAGTTTTCTCTTCCTCAGCTCACTCTTCTCCTTCTCACCCAATTTCTCTGCCTGCCCACCTTGGACCAGCTGAAGCCGCCGCTGTACCTCATCTTCCACACTGTCCACCTGCCCAATGAAGGGTGATAGAAGACATGGGGTCCAGGGGCCCAGTTGTCTACCCACCCACCCACCAGCCTATCTGCAAGTACTCACCACTCGGAAAACCCGGGGCCCATCAGGTGTGCTCTTGTCCACTCGGATCCACTTGTTGGACATAGCCTTGCTGAAGCCCACTTTGCCACTGGGCAGTTGCTAGAGGAATGAAACTGCATTGAGGGGTCATCTGTGCACCCCCCACCCCATCACATTCATAGGTCCTGCCCCTCGGGCCCTTACCATGAGTGCATTCTGGGTCAGGCCCTCTGGAGGAACACTGTGAAACACCCGGGCCTCATGGCTGCCCTCCTGGGCAATCTCCTGGCCTTCAACGGTCAGTTCCCAGTGCTTGGTAGAGCGTAGCTCAGCCTCTATGATCTACAGAGAAATGTGGGGGAGGGCATAGACCAAGACAGGGTTCAGGGCCTCCCCTGGTGGCACAGAGGTTGAGCCCTGGCCTGAGAAGTTGCCCGCAGCTTCTGCAGCGCTGGTTCGATCCCCGGCCACCAGCGAGGGTCCCACATGGCGCCCAGACCTCTCCTGCTGCACCCGCTGCTACCTTCAGCAGTGTATTTCGTTGGTCTGCCTGTTCTGTCCCCCACTCTGGCTCTGGTGAATTCTCTCACCCTCCCATGCTTCTAACTGTACCCAGTGCTTGTATAAATAAATAAATAAATCTTTAAAAAAGACATAAGACAGGGTTCAGAGCCAGGCACCCCTCACAGAAGCACTGGGGCTGCATGGCCCCTGAAGCCTGCTTCACATCCCAGCCGCACCACTTCCCAGTAGTGATCTGCACTTGCTGAGTATAGTTTCCCATTGTGACACTGAGATAATGACAAGGATGGCTCACATCTCCCAGAGCAAGGTAAAGTACTAAGGATGCTGCCTGGCAGAGCACAATTTTTTTGGCATTTGAACCTGAAAAAAATTAAGGCCTCAGGTAAATTAATTTGTGTCCTTATTAATGTACTTGTATCTCAGTGGCTGGAGAGTCAGATAAGGGCCCATGAGGGTCACATGACACACAAGAAACCCAGGCTCCACAATGAAGATGAGTTCCAGTCACAAAGGGGCAGTTTGGTGGCAGTTCTTCCCTTCCTCCCTCCTTCCCAACCTCCCCTCCTTCTTTCTTTCTTTTTTTTTTTAAAGATTTATCTATTTATGCCTACAAGAACTGGGGTACAGGCCAGAGGTGCAGGGGGAGGGGAATTCACCAGAGACAGAGTGGGGAACAGAACTGAAATACAACAGGAGCAGTCCGCCTGGCCATGCGGGCAGCTCCCTGGCTGGTCAGGGATCGAATTCATGCTACAGAGGCTGCAGATAGCTTCACAGTGCTGTGCTTAACCCTTGCGCCACCAGGGAGGCCCTCCCTCTTCTTTCTAATTCCCAGTTCTGCTCCTCACTCACTATAACCTTGGGATAGTTGTTCAACCTCCGTGAGCAAGTTTCTTCATCCGCGGGAGAGGAGTATGATGGGTACCACCTTGGTAGTTTTTTAAAAGGAAAAATAACTTGATACACAGCAAGGGATGCAGGGTGCTTAGCACGCAGCAAACACTGCAGAAATCTGAACTACCACTGCATTATCATTGCTATGACCACTGCATTATCGTTGCAGTCTAAACTACTGCTGCACTACATCAAACCCTTTGTGACCTATATAAATGTTAAACCCTTTGTGACCTATATAAATGTCAATTTCACATTTATAAGTACTGTCACCCCATCTCATCCCTCCATCTCTTCTCTGAACTAACATTCTTGCATTCTGTAGCACGGCCACTCAATTTCAAATCTGGGATCACCCATTCCTACTAGTGACCCTTATCCAAGTTACTGATCAGTGCCTAGAAGTTGTCACATCTCTTAAATAACAGTGCCATTCTGCCAGAGTTAAGGCTTGTTAAAATGTGATGGTTTTCCTCCTCAGGGCAAGAACAGACTTAGCTGTCACCTCCGCAGTGCCTCTCTCCCTGATCCCCAAGGATGAGTACACTTTCAACTCCGGATCCCCTTTACTTCCTCATCACTCTGGTCACTTGAGTATTGCCTCGATTAGACGTCAACCTCAGTGAAAACAGCGACTGCATCTTCCTTGTTCACCTTCGTCACCCAACCTCCTAACGCTAATCATGCCGCATCAGACGCTTACTGCATAAGGAAAGTCGTTGCGCCTGACCGTCACTCGTTCCTGACTCCCTGCCTGAACCCCCGAGGGCTGAACTCATACATTATCCCTAACAGGGCCTACCAGGTAAAGAGATTAAAAGAGCGGAAGCTAGGAGGCCCAGCATGCGTGTACAACTCACTTCACCCAGCGCCTGCAGACTCTTTACGGCGCCCACCACGGCCTGGTGCTCCACGCCCAACTCGGCCGCCAGGTCCGCGCTGTCCAGGCCGCCATCGGCCGCCTCCAGCCTCCGCAACAGCACTTCGGCCACTGGACCATCCGCCATAGGTGAGCTCCCAGGTATTCAGCGTGTCCCGGTGGTGGCGATGGAGCGAAGCGGGGGAGCAATCGGAACCGGAAGCGGCGCGAAGAGCGCGTTCAGCCATCTAAAGTGTGGCAGGTCTACAAGGGCGGACGAGGTCGCCATCTTGAGTGTGGTAATTGAACGTCGCGGGTGGAAGGGCGTCAGGTCCCCCTCTCCCCCGACCCAGCCGTATCTTGGTAAGTGGTATTGCAAACGACCAAATACTAAACGTGTTGCTTTAGGTCACGCCCAGAAGTCCAAACTTAAAGGACAAAGTCACGGGGTTTACTTTTTATTAATGTATACTGACATGTATAAGATGTAAATGAGGGCCTCCCTGGTGGCGCAAAAGGTTAAGCACTGCACTATGAAGCAGACCCGCAGCCTCTGCAGCACGAGTTCAATCCCCAGCCGGCCAGGGAGCAACCCACATGGCGCAGCAGACCTCTCCTGTCTCGCCCACTGCTCCCCTCAACTGTGTGTGTATTTCAATCTGCCTGTTCTGCTCCCAGCTCTGTCTCTGGTGAATCGTCTCACCCCCCTCATCTCTGGCCTGTACCCCAGCTCTTGTATGCATAAATAAATAAATCTTTAAAAAAAAAAAAAAAAGATGTAAATGAAACTAACACTATATTAGTTTCAGATAATACAACACGATGATTCCATTTTGTACCCTGCGAGATGATCAGCACAATAAGTCTAGTTACCATCCGTCATCATACAATTACAAAAATGTTTAAGTGCTGTTTCAGTATCATCCAGCCCCACCTGCAGCAAGGTTGTGTGACCTTGGTCTTCACACTTTCTGGGCCTCAGAGCTCTCTGTCCTGCTGGAATTTTCTCTTGCCTGTAAGAGGGCTCGAAGTGGCAGACACCTGAAATAGTATTTGCTGATGTCAACTATTTTTAAAAAATTCTCATTCCTCAAGTGAAATCTTTCTTCATTTATAGATGAGAAAGGGACTCACCTAACATTACTGTAGCCAGGGTAATTGCTAATCTGCATGCCTCGTCCAGTGCTAAGCGCTTCGGGCATGTTATTCCATTTGCTCGAAATCCTTACGGTGTAGATACTGATATAATCCCTATTTCAGAGATGTGAAAGCTGAGGTTAAGAAGGTGGTATGATTTGGGCCTCTCCTGGTGGCGCAGGCGGTTGAGCGCAGCGCTGTGAGGCTGTCTGCAGCCTCTGCAGCGCCGGTTTGATCCCGGCAGGCGAGCGTCCCACATGGCATGGCAGACCTCTCCTATCTCGCCCACTGCTCCCCTCAGCAGTGTATTTCGTCAGTCTGCCTTTTCTGTTCCCCACTGTGTCTCTGGTGAATCCTCTCATCCTCCCGTGAATCTGGCCTGTACCCCCCGGTTCTTGTATAAATAAATAAATCTTTAAAAAAAAAAAAGAAGGTGGTATGATTTGCTCAAGGTTCTACGAGGAGTTGGTGGAGAAATTATAAACACTCCAGTTCCTCCTGAGTTCTAGGGCAAGATAGGGCTAATTAGGCAGCTTCAGGGACAGTGCAGGCAGGAACTTCGGGAGAGTTACAAAAGCTTCTGAGATAAGGAAATCCAAGAGTGCTAATGAGGGTGTAAAATTTTTTTTTTAAAGATTCATTTATTTATTTATTTATTTATTTATTTTTTTTTTAAAGATTTATTTATTTATACGAGCACTGGGTACATACAGTCAGAAGCGCGGGAGGGTGAAAGAATTCACCAGAGCCAGAGCAGGGAGCAGAACAGGCAGAAGGACCGAAGTACACTGCTGAGGGGAGCAGTGGGCACGGCAGGAGAGGTCTGCGCGCCATGTGGGACCCTCGCTGGTGGCCGGGGATCGAACCGGCGCTGCAGAGGCTGCAGGCAGCTTCGCAGCCCAGCACTCAACCGCTGCGCCACCGGGGAGGCCCTCATTTATTTATTTATACAAGATGGGGGGTACAGACCAGATGCGTGGGAGGGTGAGAGGATTCACCAGAGACAGAGCAGGGAAAAGAACAGGCAAACTGATAAAATACACTGCTGAGGGGAGCAGCGGGCGAGACAGGAGAGGTCTGCTGTGCCATGTGGGACCCTTGCCCACCGGCTGGGGATCGAGCCGGCGCTGTGGACAGCTTCAAAGTGCAGCACTCAACCATTGCACCACCAGGGAGGCCCAGAGGTCAGTAAATATTAAGGCTAATAAGGAGAGTAAATTTTTAGAGAACTTCGACAGGAGCAGTGAAAGCAAGACTAAGAGCTGAAAACCTGCACACAGCTGCCCAGGGAAGTACAGCCAATCACAAAGAGCATGATGAAATTTTCCACTAGCGAAAAGAGGTTTAAATATCTCCTAGGCATAGGCCCATTCGGAGTCTTCTGCCCCTCCTTGGCATTGCTGCCTTGGATCTTTGCTTTTGTTCTTTTTCCTCTAAATAAACTTTACTTTCTTTTTTTAAAAAAAAAAAAAAAGATTTATTTATTTATTTATTTATTTATACAAACACTGGGTACAGTCAGAAGCGCGGGAGGGTGAGAGAATTCACCAGAGCCAGAGCGGGGTACAGAACAGACAGACTGACGAAGAAATACACTGCTGATGGGAGCAGTGTGCAGCAGGAGAGGTCTACGAGCCATGTGGGACCCTCGCGGTGGCTGGGGATTGAACCGGCGCTGCAGAGGTTGAGGGCAGCTTTGCAGCCCAGCACTCAACTGCTGCGCCACTGGGGAGACCCTATACCTCAGTTCTTGTGTGCATAAATAAATAAATCTTTTTTTTAAAAATGGGTGAAATTTATTTTTCAACTAAGATTGCAGAAGGGATGATTTATTCTACATGTGTTACATTTGGCTACGTAAGAGTGGAATTAGTCCAGAAATTCACTGGTCTAAGCAAAGAACCAAAATAGGTTTTTGGAATGAGAAAAGTGGATCTCTCAAAAGTGATCATGGCAATCAGGATCCATGGATGTTGTAGATCCACTGAGACAAGTTGTAGACAGTATCATGCAGTCCAGTTTGTACCATATACCCTTGCCTCTGGCGTTCCTTATTTCTGCTCTTGTTGCTTCCAAGGGTACACAAACTTGTGGTTAACTTAGGCTTCTGACTCATCTTTCTTCTTTTGTGCTTCAACCTGCACATTTATTTCTTCCTCCATTGGCTCTTATGGCACAGAAGCTTCTTAGAAGACAGGCTAAGGCCAAAAAAAATTGGTGAAATTAATGTGAAGGATTTATTGAGCCTAGTATGTCCGATTTATCATTTCAACACTTAGTATAGAATTAGATATTTTATATTATTTTTTCATACTACATCTTCAAAATCTGATGTGTGTTTTCCACTTGTAGCATATCTCAATTCAAACCAGCCACATTTAAATGGTCAACTGTTGCATATTGATGTCATTGGAGACTCTTTTAGGCAGCACAAATAGACTCTAATCCTAGTTCTGCTATTGATGTCACTCAACCAAAGTGCTTGATCTTTCTGTATTCTTTCCCTGCCTGTATATCCATATGAGCCAGGTTCTTGTCAGATTAGTGACAGCATCCCCACACATGTATGTAGTACTTGTAAATACTAAATGGAGTGTGGACAGTGTGTCAGGTAGTATTCTAAGCAGCATGCATTTATTCATTAACCATCACAATTGTTATTGGAGCCTTGAAAATGGAGTTACTAGCCCCCCCCCAATAGTGAGGTCCATATCAAAATTTAGAATACATCCTTCAAAGTCCCTTCCTAGCATCAAAGCACTTTCCTTGCTGTTTTAGGCCAACACTAAACAAGGAGAAAGCCATGTTTACTTGAGGGCAAATCACTGAAGGTTGACTAAAAACCAGGCAAATTTTCGTCTGGCATCTCCCCAGCTCTCCTTGAATTGGAGATGAACTCAAACCTCAAGGCCTAACTGAGGGAGCTGAATATAATAGCAGGCAAGGAAACTGAAGTTGATGGTGGTCAGAAAGCCACATAATTTTTGCTCCCTTTCGTCAACTGAAATCTTTCCAGAAAATCCAGGTCCAGCTAATAAAATTGGAGAAAAAGTTAAGTGGGAAGCAAGTTGTTTAATCACCGAGGAGAATTCTGTCTAAGCTAATTTGAATAAGTTGTATAAAAAATAAGCCAAAATATCCCAGGAGCTGCACTCCAACAACTGCAAGTGATACGATCTTGGAAAACTTGAACTTTCCAAGTGAATTTGTGGATAAGAGAATCCCCATGAAATTGGGTGACAGTAGGCTCATAGGTTTCATTGGGATAATGCATGGAACACAGGATTCAATTTTTTTTTTTGGTATGTACAAGAAGCTCACAGGCAATGATATTAATTTTGAATTCCAAAAGTTTGTTATAAACAAAAATAACTAAATAAAATAACATTATATACTCCAAAACAAAAAAACCCCACTTTTCCCAGTCTTATTTTAAAATTCCCACAGGAGTCCCTCGTTCCTCTCATCATAGTAAGTTTTGTTTTTTTTTAAGATTTATTTATGCATACAAGAACTGGGGTATAGGCCAGAGATGGGGGTGGGGTGGGGTGTGTGTGTGTGTGTGTGTGAGAGGATTCACCAGAGACAGAGTGGGGAACTGAACAGGCAGATTGACTGAAATACACTGCTGAAGGGAGCAGAGGGCAAGACAGGAGAGGTCTGCTGTGCCATGTGGGATGCTCCCTGGCTGGCTGGGGATCGAACTTGTGCTGCAGAGGCTTCAGATTGCTTCATAGGGCGTTGCTTAACTCCTTGTGCCACCAGGGAGACCTTCGTCATATTAAGTTTTAAACTTATTTCATACTGGTTGCTGCAGGGGACACTGAGTGACCATGAGGTGAATAAGACAGGTAGCCTATGGTGGAAGGAAGGGAAGGCAGAAGGGTCAGTGGTAGGGCTGAAGTGATTATCCCAGACCTGGGGCTTCTCATGAGGGGGACCAGTTTGTACCATCCTGGATTCTGTCTGAAGAAAGGTGTGGAATTTCAACTTCTCTAAAACTATTCATTCCTCCTTTATCTGAGTCCCTACTGCTGGAGGGAAGCAACCTCTTGCCAGGATTCCCTACCACCCCCCTTGCACAGTACACTACCACATTACCAGGTCCAGGGCTTGTTTGCTCAGAATTTGGAAAGCCATCAACCCTCCTTCCTCTTTCTTACAGCCTGGGGGCGGGGAGCTGGTGTCAGTCACATGCCTCTGGTTTCAGGAGACTCCAGACCCAGGGGTCCTGCTCCTCTCCCTTGGATCTTTTTTTTTTTTTGAAAGATTCATTTATTTATGCATGAGCTGAGGTACTGGCCAGAGGTGAGGGGGTGGGGGGTGAGGAGGGAGGAGTGGATTCACCAGAGACAAGAGTGGGGAACGGGGAACAGAACAGGCAGATTGACCGAAGTACACTGCTGAGGTGAGCAGCAGGCAAGTCAGGAAAGATATACTGTGCCATGTGGGTTGCTCCCTGGCCAGCTGGGGACCGAACTTGTGCTGCAGAGGTTGCTGATAGCATCATAACCCCATCTTAACCCCGTCCTATCTTCCCTACCATCTGTCTCTTTTTTCCCCTCTTCCCAACGGAACCCCCTGCCCTCTAGGTTAACCCTCTAGTCTAGCCGTTTAATTGCAAAAGCCAGGCCGTTTGTGGGAGACCACAAGGCATAGACCCCTTCCATTTATTGGTTGAGAGCAAATAAAGGAGAGGCTGCAACTAGGGGAACAATCCTACCCCCACCATAGGAGCCACAGCCTATAGACACTTCTAGAGGCTTCTGGCTTTTTCACCTCTGCGCTAGGATATCCCTAAAGATATTTGGGATTTGACGGAATTACTGCCAGACAGCAGCTGACCAGGGTCTTTCCTTCTGGCCTCTTAAGAGGTCCCGTGACTTTAGAGAACCTAAGAGATTTGTTCAGGTCACACAGCACCAGTCTGACAGGCTGTCAGGGCACGAGGGGTCAGGTGGTTCGGCTGGCATTCTCCTCGTTGATCTGTAAGGCTGCAGCATCAGGGTAAAGGGAAGATCCAGGTTTCCAGCTCCTTAATTCTGGTGCCCTCAGTCCCATGCTGGGAGGCAGGGGTGGAGTGACATAACGCGGACGTGTTGGGACTGGAATTCCCGAAAGACAAGGTAAATACGAGCTAGGAAAACCGGGCTAATCCATCCCCGTAGCAGGACGGCGAGAGGATAAGGCTTGGGCAGGGTCCTGGTGTTGCGCGGTAACACCTGCATCGCGCGGGTTCTTTAAAAGCGAACATCCGGAGACACGCGCTCTTGCCAGGGCGGGGTTGGGGCGAGATCTGGTCACATGACCGGGTCTGAAGGGCTCCCGGCCCCCACCCCACCGGTGGGCGTCCTCCACAACGCGTGGTCGACCCTCATTGGCTAATGGTTCGGCCAATAGAAATCGGCCATCTGGGAACCCAGCGTTCCGAGGCACACCCTAGCTTGCTGAGCCCACAAGAGTCCAATGGAAAGGCAGAACCGTGGCCACAGACCAATGACAACGTGTGTGGGGCGGGTCCAGAGGCCGGACCAGGTTGGTTTGAGAGGCGGTGGGGTATAAGTCACCGCGGTCGGTGGCAGCGTCCGTCCCCACTGCAGAGCCGCCGTCTGAGGAGCGACTGGAAGGGTCCGCGCGCCGCCGCCCCCTCGGCCCGCCATGCTGCTACTCGTGCCGCTGCTGCTCGGCCTCCTCGGTCTAGTTGCCGCCGAACCCGCCGTTTACTTAAAAGAACAGTTTCTGGACGGAGGTAACGCCTGGACCCGCCTTGAGGCCGCCCCGGCGACGCAGCCGGCCCCTCAGCCCAGATTTGCGTCGTCGCCTCTAATTACTGCTCAGAGGGCCAACAGGGTGGTCCTCGGGGACTACAGCCGCGGGCGATTCCTTCTGAGTCCCTGGGGAGCGTGGAGGGTGTAGCGGTGTCCTGTGATGGGAATCGGGGTTCATCCGAGAATCTTTTAAGACACCTGCTTGTCAAAGTAGAGATTGTGTGAGGGAAATCGGGGGTGGGGGGGAATCTCCTTCCTTGCCCATGACAGTTAGAGGCCCTTGGCAGATTTTAGGGAGGGAATCAGCATGGCGCCGCTGACCTGCCTCTCTGATCCCCTAGATGGGTGGGCCCATCGCTGGATTGAATCCAAACACAAGTCGGATTTCGGCAAATTTGTTCTCAGTTCTGGCAAGTTCTATGGTGACCAGGAGAAAGATAAAGGTAAGAGCTTCCGAGTGATCCCTCATACCCGGGAGAACTTCCTGCAGGAAGCCCTCCTCTTCACTGCCTGGGTATTCCCAGGAGCAGGGCATGTTGAAGAAGGGGGCGGGGAGGTCTGTATCTCTAATCCTTAGTGTCCCCCGGGGACACTAGCTGAGCAGTGACCTAGCTGCCAACCTCTACTAGGGCTGCAGACAAGCCAGGATGCCCGCTTCTACGCTCTGTCGACCAGATTTGAGCCCTTCAGCAACAAGGGCCAGACGCTGGTGGTGCAGTTCACCGTGAAACACGAGCAGAACATCGACTGTGGGGGTGGCTACGTGAAACTGTTTCCGGATGGTTTGGACCAGACAGACATGCATGGAGATTCTGAATACAATATCATGTTTGGTGAGGAGCCCTTCGATTAATTAAAAGGAGACTGAGACACCATGGATCCCTTAAAGCTCGTAAAGGTTGAGAACATAGAAAATTTTTACTGTAGTTGGCTCTTTGGAAGGGAAGCTGAGGTTAACAGTAACATTGCATTTTTCTGTTGGTTTGAGATTAATTCCTGTGAATGAGTGGAGGTATTTTCTAATTTTACAATTGAATTTTGTAGTACTGCTAATTTTAATTTTTAATGTTCCACCTACAGCCCCTTAGATGTATCAGGGTCTTAATCCTGTCTTTTGAACCTTTACAGACCTGGATTTAAAATCTGGTCTTGGCTTTGAAAAGAGGGGTGGGGCCCCCTATCTCTAACCAGCCTGCTCATCACCCCAGGCCCTGACATCTGTGGTCCCGGTACAAAGAAGGTTCATGTCATCTTCAACTACAAGGGCAAGAACGTACTGATCAACAAGGACATCCGCTGCAAGGTGTGCCCCGGGGGTGGTGACAAATGGCTGCCTGGGGAGGTGAGAGATGTGGCAGGTGGGCGGGGCCACTCACTTCCCTCCCTCTTCAGGATGATGAGTTCACACACCTGTACACTTTGATTGTGCGACCTGATAACACCTATGAGGTGAAGATTGACAATAGCCCGGTGGAATCAGGCTCTTTGGAAGATGATTGGGACTTCCTGCCCCCTAAGAAAATCAAGGATCCTGATGCTTCAAAACCAGAGGACTGGGATGAGCGAGCCAAAATCGATGACCCCACAGACTCCAAGCCTGAGGTGGGTGCTGGGGTCAGAGCTCCCCAGCTGGGTGCCCAGCCTTGGCAACTCTGACTTCCTAATGTCTCCTCAGGATTGGGACAAGCCTGAGCACATCCCTGACCCTGATGCTAAGAAGCCTGAGGACTGGGATGAAGAAATGGATGGGGAGTGGGAACCACCTGTGATTCAGAACCCCGAATACAAGGTGAGCATTGGGTTTAATGCTGCACAGAGTGGGATGCACAGTGGAAAGCACACCATCCTATAATCACGATTCTCTGTTCCCTTCTGCAGGGCGAGTGGAAGCCCCGGCAGATTGACAACCCGGATTACAAGGGCACTTGGATCCACCCAGAGATTGACAACCCTGAGTACTCTCCGGATAGCAATATCTATGCATATGAAAACTTTGCTGTGCTGGGCTTAGACCTCTGGCAGGTAAGACTCTGGGAAGAGGAGGATCCCTGGAGTGCCTCAAGTAGTCAGGATCAGTCTCTGAGGGTCAGAGGTAGGATTCAATCCCAGGCAGGCTTGGGCCCCTAAATGGGGCTTTTTCTTTTTCCTTTTTTTTTTTTAAGATTTGTTTGTTTATTTATTTATATAAGCACTGGGTACAGTCAGAAGCGCGGGAGGGTGAGAGAATTCACCAGAGCCAGAGCAGGGAGCAGAGCAGTCAGAAGGACCGAAGTACACTGCTGAGGGGAGCAGCGGGCAGCAGGAGAGGTCTGTGCGCCATGTGGGACCCTCTTCCGGTGGCCAGGGAGCAGCCGGGGATTGAACTGGCGCTGCAGAGGCTGCGGGCAGCTTCGCAACCCAGTGCTCAACCGCTGCGCCACCAGGGAGACTCCCCCCTTTCCTTTTCTTTAAATGATTCATTTGTGCATAGGAGAACTGGGGTACAGGCCGGGGATGGGGGTGGGGGGCGGGGATAATGTGTGTGAGAGGATTCACCAGAGACAGTGGGGAACAGAACAGGCTGATTGACTGAAATACACTGCTGAGGGGAGTAGCGGGTGAGGCGGGAGAGGTCTGTTGAACCATGTGGGTAGCTCTCTGACTGGCCAGGGCTGGAACTTATGCTGTAGAGGCTGCATATAGTTTCAAAGTGCTGTGCTTATTAGCCCCTTGCACCACCAGGGAGGTCCTGGGGCTTTTTCCGGAAGTATTTCTTGGTTTGTCTTTGGGGACCCTTCTTTTTGAGGTTGTACCTTTATGTGAACCAATTCACCTAACCTCCTTTGCAGCAACCTAGAAGGGAGTTAGAGAACTCCCTTAGGAAATTAGCTTGAAGAGTATCAAACTTTTGCTTACTTTGTTCACTGACATACTTGTCTAGAACTGCTTGGCATCTAATAGGTACTGAAATATATTTGAATATAAAGAAATGAGTTCTCATTTTACAGATACAGAGACATGAGGCACAGGGATGTGCAAAGTCAGAGTCAGGAAATGGCAGAGCTGGGATTTGAATGTAGGTAGTCTGCTTTTCAACTTCAACCTCAGCCTGGCATTGTGTAGTGATTGTGGGAATGAAAGTGGGAATCCTGGGACTCCCTGATGGCACAAGGGGTTAAGCACAGCACTGTGAAACTATCCGCAGCCTCTGCAGCATAAGTTTGATTCCCTGCCAGCCGGGGAGCTGCCCACATGGCGCAGCAGACCTCTCCTGTCTCACCCGCTGCTCCCCTCAGCAGTGTATTTCAGTCCGTCTGCTTGTTCTGTTCCCCACTGTCTCTGGTGAATCCTCTCATGCCCTGCACCTCTGGCCTGTACCCCAGTTCTTATATGCATAAATAAATCTTTAAAAAAAAAAAAAAGTGAACCCTGTCTAAGGCCAGTGTCATTGGCTCTCCTCTGACTCCTTCATCCCAAACCTGTGTCCCCTCTCCCGACAGGTCAAGTCTGGCACTATCTTTGACAACTTCCTTATCACCAACGATGAGGCCTATGCCGAGGAGTTTGGCAATGAGACCTGGGGTGTCACAAAGGTGAGACAGCCATACTCCTGGGCTTGGGGATAGGCAGGGCAGGCAGTGGGTTGGGTCCTGAGCTCTGTGGTCTCTGTGCAGGCAGCTGAAAAGCAGATGAAGGACAAGCAAGATGAAGAACAGAGGCTAAAGGAGGAAGAGGAGGATAAGAAACGTAAGGAGGAGGAGGAAGCAGACAAGGAAGATGATGAGGACAAGGATGAAGATGAGGAGGAGGAGGATGACAAGGAGGAGGAGGAGGAAGATGACGCTGCCACTGGCCAGGCCAAGGACGAGCTGTAGGGGCCATATCATCGCCTCCAGGGCTGGACTAAGGCCTGAGCGCGCCTGCTGCAGAGGTGGCTGCGCCAAATAATGTCTCTATGAGACTGGAGAACTTTCTTTTTTTCCAGGCGGGTTCTGATTTGGGGTGGATTTTGGTTTTGTTCCTCCCTTGCCACCCCACCTCCCCCCCCCCCTTTTTTTTTACTGGTGTTTTGTCTGACTCAGCCATTATCCCTGGCCCTTGTTTTTCTTGATTGACATCTTTGTCTCCCTCTGTACCCTTCCTTCCCTACCGCACTCCAGATCCCTTAGTTCCCCTCGAAATGGGGAGCTGTATATGGGGATATGGAGAAGCCCCAGGCCCAAGATTCATCTGCTGTCCTACCTGGATTAGGGGGGTGGGGGAGGCAGAAGGTGGTATCTCTAGCCCCTCCCCCCCAGCACTGAGGAAAAATGGGGCTCTTAGGGACCTGAGCTCTGACATCCCCCCCCCCCACATCCTTTTGTCTCCTTACCCAAAGACTGGGCCACTTCTAGGTGGGGCAGTAGATTTCCATCTCAGCTCATGCTGAGAATGTAAGAACTACAAACAAAATTTCTATTAAATTAAGTTTTGTGTCTTCCTCTTGTGTTTCCTTCTGGGAAGGGATGGGCTTCAGGGAACCAAAAGTGAACTTTTTTGGGAATCACTCTGAGTAACCTTCTAAAATATAGAGTGTCCCATAATTGTAGTAATTCAATTTAAGGAGTTCTTGCAACAATTGAGGTTGGGCTCTAGTAACATAAGTTAGATCAGATAGGTACAGAATTTAGTAGGAGGTAGGGCAGTGATTTGAACACACTAGGGTTTCATACACTCCTTTATACACTGAACCATAAGCCCCTCTTATTTAAGACTACAGTGAACAATTAGAAATTTTTTTAGGACCAGCCAGTGTTAGGAGCTCTTTTTTTTTTAAAGATTATTTATGGATACAAGAGCTGGGGTACAGGCCAGAGGTGGGGGTGGTGAGAGGATTCACCAGAGACAGAGTGGGGAACGAATGGGCAGATTGAAATAACACTGCTGAGGGGAGCAGTGGGCGAGTCAGGAGGTCTGCTGTGCCATGTGGGTAGCTCCCTAGACTGGAATAGATCTTGTGCTGCAGTGGCTGCAGACAGCTTCATAGGTTGCTTCTTAAGCCCTTGTGCTACCAGGAAGGTCCCTGTTATGAGCTCTTAACCTTCTAGGGCCTCCCTGGTGGCCTAGAGGTTAAGTCTCAGTGCTATACCCTTGTAGCGAGTTTGATCCCCTGCCAGGGACCTAACCCACACGTGTAGCAGTCCGCTCCTTTCTTGCCCACTGCTCCTCTCAGCAGTATATTTCACTAAATCTGCCTGTTCCCCACGCTGTCTGGTGAAACCTTTCATCCCACACACATCTGACCTACACCACAGTTCTACAAACAGAAAATTACTGTAGGGTAAATGGTTTTTCAGGCTTTTCTGCCCTCCCACCATTAGGATTGCCCTGCCTGATGGGGCATCTATAGTTGTTACATTGTTGCAAACTGACTTGCTTACCCCTATGGGCTATGAGAGGGGTATTGAGATAGTCACCAAGAGAAGCAGAAGCAGGAGAGATGCGGGAGAAAGAAGCCCAGAGAAGCCAAGAGTGAAGTGTTGCCAGGGGCTTGGAAGCCTACGGGCCTCCTGGACCCCTTAACACCCCTGCCTGCCATGTACCTGTTAGCCACACTACATGTAAAGCTCAGTAAAAGCCTGAGAAAGCCACCAGGGGCTCCAGGACTCCTTTACCCGTCTGCCGGATCAGAAAATCTGCTCAGTGGCCATCCTGCCACTAACAATTACCTTTTCTTTCTTTTTTTTAAGATTTATTTATTTTTATACAAGAGCTGGAGTACAGGCGAGAGGCGCAGGAAGGTGAGAGGATTCAGCAGAGGTAGAGTGGGAAGCTGAACAGGCAGACAGAAAGAAATACATTGCTGGGGGGGGCAGCGGGAGAGACAGGAGAGGTCTGCTGCGCCATGTGGGATTCTTGCTGGTCGGCCGGCTGGGATCAAACTGGCACTGCAGAGGCTGTGGACAGCTTCACAGTGCAGCGCTCAACCTGCTGCCCCACTGGGGAGGCCCCTCTTTTTTTTTAAGGAGGCCCCTCTTTTATTTTGCATTGAACTCCTGCTGCAGAGGCTGCAGATTGCTTCAGAGTGTGGTGCTTAACCCCTTGCGCCACCAGGGAGGTCCCTACCTTTTCTTCTATAACCAAGGAAATAGGCTTAGAAATGTTATCAAGCCTGTTGATGGTTTTCAGTTGTCAATTACAATTCAAACTTTTTTAAAAAAGATTTATTAAGGGCCTCCCTGGTGGTGCAAGGGGTTAAGTGAAGCTATCCACAGTCTCTGCAACACAAGTTCTTGTATGCATAAATAAATCTTTAAAAAAAAAGATTTATTTATGTATACAAGAACAGTGTACAGGCCAGAGGTGTGGGGGTTGAAAGGGTTCACCAGAGACAGAGTGGGGAGCAGAACAGATGGGTCTACTGAAATACACTGCTGAGAGGTGCAGTGCACAAGACAGGAGAGGTCTGCTTTGCCATGTGGGTTACCCCACGGGCCAGGGATGGAACTCCAAAGCACCTTTTTTCAGCTTTGGAGAATCAACTTTTCAAAATCCTTCCTTTGATGGCATCATGCTTCCCTTCCGTGTTCTGTAGCCCAATCCCACCTCTCGGAAATTCTCTTGGTGCCTTGGGTTGGTGTATCCAGGGAAAGGTTAGGAGACTGATATAGTCAATGCAAAGATGCCTTCAAAGCTAACATATTCCTTAAATATATTTGGGGTCATACTGGGATAGTGAACAAAGAGGTGGGGGGAGGAAGGAGCAGCAGAGAGCTGGACATCCAGTAATTAGAACAGCAGATTCATTCCAGAATGACTCTGTGCACCTCTTTCCATGACCAAATGCCTTTTTAAAAAAGATTTATTTATTTATTTTTTTAAGATTTATTTTTTATTTATTCAAGTGCTGGGGTACAGGTCAGATGCACGGGAGGGTGAGAGAATTCACCAGAGACAGAGCGGGGAACAGAACAGGCAGACTGATGAAATACACTGCTGAGGGAGCAGTGGGCACGACAGGTGAGGTCTACGCACCATGTGGGACCCTCGCAGGGGGCCGGGGATGGAACTGGCACTGCAGAGGCTGTGGGCAGCTTCGCAGCCCAGCACTCAACCGCTGCACCACGGTGGGAGGCACTTCATGAATTTTTAAAAAAGATTTATTTATTTATGCATACAAGAGCTGGGGTGTAGGCCAGAAGTGCAGAGAGGTGTGAGGATTAACCAGAGACAGAGTGGGGAGCAGACTAGGCGGCTCTTTTGAAATACATTGCTGAGGGGAGCAGCAGGGGAGACAGGAGAGGTCTGCTGAACCACGTGGGTCGGCTCGCAGGTGGAGGATTGAACTGGTGTTGCGGTGGCTGCCAGTAGCTTGATGGTTCTGAGACTTAACCCCTTGGGCCACCAGGGAGGCCCCTCACTACATGAAAATATACTTTAACATCAAAACAAGGTAATGAAACTCGTGGGTGTTAAACCGGGAACCCATGGGAACCATTTTGTGGCGGCATGACGTCACCGCTACCGAGCGTGGTGTCACGTGGCGGAAACCACATGACGGGTATACGTTCGGAGTGAGAAACCCTCTCCGGTTCCGCGGAGTAGAGTTTAGTTTGCGCATGCCTGGTCCGAGGGCGCGCCCGTGCGCATGCCTATGAAGGTCAAAGGGGGTGGGGAAATGAGCGAGGGTCACGTGCTCTGGTGGTCGGCGCGCGCACCACCTGCCCCGGAAGCGGTCGGAGCGCGGCACGACTGGGCGCTAAGATGGCGGCGGCGTGAGTTGCATGTTGTGTGAGGAACCCGGGGCCGCCGCGTCGCTCGGGCCTCGCCATGGCCGTCACCATCACGCTCAAAACGCTGCAGCAACAGACCTTCAAGATTCGCATGGAGCCTGACGAGACGGTGCGAGCCGGGCCGGAGCCCGCGGGCGGGAGTGACTGGTGCCGGGGTGGGTGGGGGCGGGGAGGTCGGAATCCCGACGGGAGGGGCGGGGAGGACTGCGCGGGCCGAGCCGGACTCAACTCCCCTCCCACCTGCCAGACTTTCCCAGACACCAGGCCGGTCCCCCGTCCAGTCTTCGGCGGCTCGGCGAATGCTCCGGGCAAGATCTGTGGGCAAGGCCCTAACTCCGGGGTGCCTGCCAGGTCCCGGCTCCAATGTCAGAGCTCTCGCGGCGCACGGGAGCCACAGGGTCAGATTCCCGATGGGGCCTCTCCGGGACGGGGGCTCCCGAGTGCCCAGCTTTGCAAGCGTTTTTTCGGCCCTTATTTAGCCGAAACTGGAAATAGTACCCGGAGATGTCGGATGGTACGGGCGACGATATTAATGGGCTGTCTGAGTTTCGGTGGTGTGTGTTTGTTGGCCATTTGTTCTTTACTAGTCGCCGAGCGTATCAATATAACCTTGCTAAGTTTACAAAACAGAATATTTCTTACTTGGGGACTTCGACGCTCCAGATTTTGCAGATGTTTTAAGGAACTTGGCACAATCACAAGCAGCAAAGTAATGGCGGAACCGGGATTCAGATTAGGTTCTGCTTCACGTGAGAGCCCAGAGTGTAAACCTGCAGACTTTTTAGCTAAACAGAGACGTAGGGCCTAACAAACACTTTGCTTTTCTATGCTCTGGGCACATTTTGCATAACTACCCCATGAGGGAGGGAAACACCAAAGTCCACTTTCTTTTTTTTTTAAGATTTATTTATTGGGGGCCTCCCCTGGTGGCGCAGCGGTTGAGCACTGGGTTGCGAGGCAGCCTCTGCAGCGCCAGTTCGATCCCCGGCCACCGGCGAGGGTCCCACCAAAAAAAAAAAAAAGATTTATTTATTGGGCCTCCGGGTGGCACAAGGGGTTAAGATGCAACCGATGAAGCTAGCCGCAGCCACTGCAGCACGATTTCGATCCCAGGCCAGGGAGCAACCCACGTGGCGCAGCAGACCTCCTAACAGGCCAGCTGCTCCCCTCAACAGTGTGTTTCTGTCATTCCGCCTGTTCTGTTTCCCACTCTGTCTGGTGAATCCTCTCACCCCCCACAACTTTGGCCTGTACCCCAGTTCCTGTATGTATGAAATCAGTATTTATTTATGCATACAAGAGCTGGAGTACAGGCCAGAGATTGGCGGGGAAGGTGTGTGTGAGAGGATTCACCAGAGTTGGGAGCAGAACTGACATATCCACTGAAATACACTGCTGAGGGTGTTGTAGAGCAACCCCGATACAAAACGGGGTGCCTTACTGTGGCTCCTCACTCGTGTGCTCACAAGGACTTATCAATGTTTTACTGCAGGCACACGCGAAAGGTTAATAAAAGGTTTATTTACAAGGGAAGGGAAATGAGGAAATGTACAGCTTAGGGAGAAAAGTGGGAGACAAAGTTTTAAATGAGTCCTACCTGATCCACCGATCAGGAATCCCAAAATGGTGCTCTGAGAGCTGGCTGCAAGCCAGGAGCTGTGTAACCAGGAGGCCAGCGACAGCAAACCCCCAAGGCCCACGTGTTTGGTTTTTATATCCAACCTGGCTGCCCAACTCCACCCTCAGGTCAGCCACCCTCCCTTTGGTGGTGATGGGATTTGTCTTTCCCAATGTCTTGATGGCTTAAGTCTGGAGTGGGGGTGGAGTCCACAAAGTCTGTATGGGATTAACTCAGGACATTATTTTCCCCTAACAAGGGGAGCAGCTGGAGACAGGAGATGTCTGCTGTGCCATGTGGGTGACCTTCCTGGCTGGGGTTCGAATTCGTGCTGCAGCGGCTAATGATAGCTTCTTAGTGTTGCGTCTTAACTCTTGTGCCGCCAGGGAGGCCACTTTTTGTTGAAAAGGAAACACTTGTTTTTTGACCAGCCCAACTGTTTAACTTCGGGCAAATTGCTTAACATCTCTGTGCCTTCTCCTTTAATACAAAGTGAGGCCAGTATCAAAGACATACTATTATGTGATTATACTGTGAGACTTTAAAAGTCTGCTGTATTTATAATAGTAACGTCAACTCAATGTGCTTTCACAGTAAAAACTGATCACTTAGTGGTGAAGGTCAACATGAATTGGGGGACCCATCTATTTCCCCTTTATTCTGTTTCTTCATAATTTACATAATCTGAAATAGGTGTATTTTCCCTTTCCTACCATAGTGTCATCTCCATGAGAGCAGGAACTTTTTTTTTTTTAAAGAATCATTTATTTATGCATACAAGAACTGGGGTACAGGCCAAAGGTGCGGGAGGGTGAGAGGATTCACCAGAGACAGAGTGGGGAACAGAACAGGGAGACTGACTGAAATACACTGCTGAGGGGAGCAGCGGATGAGACAGGAGAGGTCTGCCGCACCATGTGGGATTCTCCCTCGCTGGCCGGGGATTGAACCTGCACTGCGGAGGCTGTGGACAGCTTCACAGCTCTGCGCTCAACCACCTGCGCCACCAGGGGACGCCCGAGAGCAGGAATTTGTGTTAGAATTTTAGCTCTTTGTTGTGTTCTCAGTGCTTAAAACAATTTTATGGCTTGTAAGACACCTTGGTATATGTTAAGTAAATATGCTGTTGAACAGAATGATTGAAAAATTTCAAATATAGTTTGCTTGACTGTAAACTTAGTCTCTCTGCATCAAGACTCATAACCATACTAGAGGGGAAGTCAGAATCTTGGAGTTTGCAATGACTATCTGTACCCCTTCTTGCAGGTAAAGGTGCTAAAGGAGAAGATAGAAGCTGAGAAGGGTCGTGATGCTTTCCCTGTAGCTGGACAGAAACTCATCTATGCTGGCAAGATCCTGAGTGATGATGTCCCCATCAGGGACTATCGAATTGATGAAAAAAACTTCGTGGTTGTCATGGTGACCAAGGTGGGTGAAGTGTGCTGGTTGGGAGGGTGGATGGATTAGCTCAGGAGCTGGCAAATAGCCTGCCTGCCCAAGAGAGATTAGACATGAATAGGGTGGTGCTGAAACAGGGCAGGATGTTGGGACTAGATAGAAATACTGATGCCTGCTCCCTTTTTCTGGGTGTCACAGGCCAAAGCTAGCCCAGGCACCTCAGTAACCACAGAGGCCTCCCCCACTGCTGCCCTGGAGTCCTCCATCTCCTTCCCACCGGCCCCTGCCTCAGGCATGTCCCATCCCCTGCCCACCACCAGAGAAGACAAGAGCCCATCAGAGGAATCTGTCCCCACGACGTCTCCGGAGTCTGTGTCAGGGTAAGGCAGGGAGCAGCAGCTCCAGCTTGGGTCCTGTCCTCCCATCACTTTCCAGTGCCCACACATGTGGTCCCACACACCTGGGGGGAGGGCACGCCGCCAGAAGCCAGGGTCCGATTTCTCTCTCTTGAATTTGCAGCTCTGTTCCCTCTTCAGGTAGCAGCGGGCGAGAGGAAGACGCAGCCTCTACGCTAGGTGGGTGGGTGGTCCCCAGGGCAGAAGCAACTGAGTGCCCCAGCCATCAGCTGGGCTTTTTTGTGGGTGTGGGAGGGTCTGGGAGCTTACCTTTCTGCTCCCTGGTGACACAGGCCCACTGCTCCCTCCACAGTGACTGGCTCTGAGTATGAGACGATGCTGACGGAGATCATGTCTATGGGCTATGAGCGGGAGCGGGTCGTGGCTGCCCTGAGAGCCAGCTACAACAATCCTCACCGAGCCGTGGAGTATCTACTCACGGTGAGGTGGGGCAGCTGCCTCCTGGGGAGGCCTCAAGGGAGTATGTGGGCATTAAAACCCTGATGGGTGGTCAGGGAGGCAAAACCCACTCTCAACAATTTTGGGTAGTGGTATTAGCCAGGAAAGCCTTCCTGTAGGACATTGGACATGAGTCATGGGTGGGCCTGTGGAGGGTGGGACTGAGATCTCATCTGTCTCATTCTTGTGCTGAGCCTACAGGAGGGAGGCAATGGGAGGTCTGTACATTAGAACTAAATAGGACCCCTGACAGGGAATTCCTGGGAGTCCCGAGCCAGAACATGGTTCCGTGCAGGAGAGCCAGGTATCCGAACAGCCAGCCACGGAAGCAGGTGAGCGGATGGGAGGTACGCCTTTGGTCTGTCTGCTGTGAAGCCATCTGACTCCTCACTCTTGCATCTAGAAGCCCAGCGTGGTGTTTAACTGTACCTCTTACTCCCGCCAGCAGGAGAGAACCCCTTGGAGTTCCTGAGGGACCAGCCCCAGTTCCAGAACATGCGGCAGGTGATTCAGCAGAACCCAGCGCTGCTGCCTGCCCTGCTCCAGCAGCTGGGCCAGGAGAACCCTCAGCTTTTGCAGGTGCGGCCATGGGAGCAGGAGAGCCAGTATAGTCACCACTTCCTCTCTCTTTCGAGTACTGCAGCCCCAAAGAATGAGCTTGGGCCAGCATGGCACATAGGGGTTCCTCTGTATACAGAAAGTAGGACTCATGACAGCCTCTATGTGGTGTGGGCCCTGTTGCTGTGGCCCTCACAGAGGAAGATGCCAGAACCATGGAGCAGCCTGGTAGCTGGGGGAGTGTGTTCCTCTGGTCCCTAGGTCTTGCACCCAGCCTTCTGGATCTTGTGATTCTGGCTCCACATACAGTTGGTGCTTCACAAATGTCTGTGGGGTGGCATGGCAGTATCTTGGTCCAGTGGGCCCAAAGCCATCTAGAGCATTGGACTCAGCAAGGTAATGTCCTGCCCTTAGAAGGCTCCTCAGCACAGGGACAGTGGCTCTGGGTGTGGCAGGTGCTGTACCCATTCTATTTCTCCCCCAGTTTCTCAGTCTCTTGTGTTGGCTTCTCCTGCTTGCCTCCTCAGAATGTTGGAGGGCCCAGGACATGCACCTCTGCTCTTTATCTGCACTTATCCTCCTCACATATTACTTGGGCTTTCACCCTGGTGACTCCCAAAGTCACATAACCACCTCTGGTCTCTAGATTTATGCTCATCCCTGGCTCACTTGACATCTGCATGAAAGTGCTTTTGAGTCATCTAACACTTACGAACATACCCTCCTCCCAGCCAACCCTGTTTCTGCAAGAACTAGCCTGGGATTGTTTGAGCCCCACACCCTGGGTGCCTACTGGGGTGATCCCTCCCCTGTCCTGTCTGCTCTACTTCCAGAACATCTCCCAACACCCAGTCCTGCACTTAACCTCTCTGGCTGCCACCTGATCTCTTACCTGCTTTCCTGGCAGCCACTGCCAAAGGCCTTTGTTTCTGCATAGCCCCTGTGGTTCTTTCTCCCCAGGACAAAAGCTGTTCTGTCTTTCATGTGAAAATTGTTAAACAAACGAGTAAAGAGTTGTATCAGAAACCCCCAATCTGCAACACCTGCATGAATTAATCTCTTTCAGAGGTACACAGGTGGCTGCTCTTCCTATTTAACTTATATCACCGTGGTTTCTATCCTCCTCGAAGGCAGTAGAAGAAAGTGGTCTGGTTCCTGCCTTCCTCTGGTCTCATCTACTTCCTTCCCCTTCCCTTCCTTATTTACTGTTTCTGGGATTCACCTTTGCTGCTTGTTCTGCCTGAAGAAACCTGTTCTCCCTTATCCCACAAGTCACATGCCCATCCCCCTTCTGGCCCTTAGTGTCTCTCCCAGCCCAGGGTCTTCCCTGCTGGATGCCAGGCCTGGTCTTTATATTATAAACAGTTGTCCATTTGTTTGCTTGTTTATGGCCTAGTACATCAGCTCCAGCAGCACAGGGTTTGTGCTCCCCACACACTGCTTTATGACTTTTTGGCCAGAATAGGCACCCCCTAAATATTTGCTGAGTGAATGGAAAACCAAGGACTGGGAGGGGGAGAGGAGGTAATATGGGCTGTGGGTCATGTCCCTTCCCCTTCACCTCCTGCAGCAAATTAGCCGGCATCAGGAGCAGTTCATCCAGATGCTGAACGAGCCCCCAGGGGAGCTGGCAGACATCTCAGACGTGGAGGGGGAGGTGGGTGCCATAGGTGAGGATGCCCCGCAAATGAACTACATCCAGGTGACGCCACAGGAGAAGGAAGCAATAGAGAGGGTAAGAGACCTGGTTGATGGGTTCCCTGTTGGTGGGCAGGGCCCTTGCCCAGGGCTTATCCCTACCCATCTTCCCACAGTTGAAGGCCCTGGGCTTCCCAGAGAGCCTGGTGATCCAGGCCTACTTCGCTTGCGAAAAAAACGAGAACTTGGCTGCCAACTTTCTCCTGAGTCAGAACTTTGATGATGAGTGATGACTGGGAGACCCGGCCACCCGCAGCCCCCACCCTCACGCCCCTCCTCCAAAAAGTTTTATAAAAGAAAAAAATATATATATATATATTCATGTTTATTTAAGAAGTGGGAAAAAAAACAAAAACCTTAAAAAAAAAAAAAAACCCAACTTTCCACCCTCCTAAACTGGCCCCTGTTCCCATCTTGGCCTGAAAAGACCCTTGCCAGACATCTGTCCCCCATCCCCCACTCCAGCCCAGCCTTCTCCAAGGAGCTGGCAGAACTGAAGGTGACAGATGGGCCCCTTTTGGCCTCTGTCCCAGCTCCCTGCAGCCAGATGGAGAGGCGGCTGCCTGCTTCCCCATCCCCCGAAGAGCCCCTGAGACCTCTCCCCCACCCGCTTCCTGGGTGTGGGGAAGCTGGAGCCCCAAACTTTGATCTTCCATTGGAGTGGCCCAAATCTTTCCATCTGAAATGAATACTCAAGAGGTCCACGGCCCCTTCCCCAGTCTGGCCTTGGCCTACAACCTGCATCCCTTTGCTGGGGAGGAGGCCTGGTTTGTCCTGCCTGGGAAAGGGATAATGTTATGAGGCGGAGACCACCCCCACCCCGAACACAGAACTGTGTCTGATAAAGGTTTTGAAGTGAATAAAGTTTTAAAAGACAGTCCTGTGGTCTGTGCCTGCTGGGGCTTCCCACTCCTGGACTGGGGGCTACTTGGGCACAGGTGACTTGGGAATGCCAAGGAGGGCAGAGGGGTATGGCAGCCTTTGCAGATTGGGGCTCTCAGTGTCCTCCTCCCACAAAGCTGTCTTGTTCCCAGTGAGCCCCAGTTCAGCCTTGGAAGGAAGGAGTGTTCACCGTCCCCCACTATCATCACTACAGTCTGTTTTGGCTATATTTTTCCTCTGGTAATTGGCTAATTACTGGAGATTAATGTTGGTAAACAGAAGCCTCCTTCTCTGCCATCTGCTCCTCCATTATTTCCCCATTGCATCTCCTTTACTCTCTCTCTCTGAAGCCCCAGTTAGTCAGTGGGCTAGCATCCCTGAAGGAGAGGCAGGCACCAGGTGTTGGGGAAGGACCCAAGGAGGGGCACACACAATACAGAGCCCTCTGAGGTTGGGGATAACAGATTTTATTGGGAAAGGACACAGCTCAGGAGCTGGGTGCTGTGGAGACTGGGTCCTGGGCTGTACTGGCAGCCATTGCAGCAGCACGTGCCTCCTTCTTCTGTCTTTGTTTCTCCTCCTTGAGGCGCTTTCGCTCCTGCTTCTCCAGGTCCTGCAGCAGCTCTTGGAAGCGGGTGCTCCGTGGGTCCACGTGGTAGCCCAAGCGTTCCTGGGCCTCAGCTTGCAGACGGGCCCGCCGCTCCTTGTCTGCCTGTGCCTTCTCCCTGCGCTCCTGCTGTTGTCGCTGCCAGTTCGCAATCATCTGTGGCATCTTGGCCATTCGCTCTGCAATGAGCTGCTCCCTGCAGGGGGAAGTAGTGTGGGCAGTAAGAGAATAACCCCCAGCCAGGGCAGCGTCCATTTTTCCACACCCCACCTCTCCCAACTCCTCTGTGAAGAGAAATGGAAGGTTTATTATGACCTTTATACTTAGAAGTCCTTGACAAGAAAGAGGGGATGAACTAACTTGTATGTAACCCTGAGCACGAGCCAGTGCCAAGCCCCAGAAACTCTTGGAAGCAGACCCCAAGTCATCGTTACATTTCACTAAGCTGTCTACTGAGCCATCCAAGCGCTGTTCACCATTTGGGGCCACTCCCACAGCTCCTCCATTGTACAGAAATTGAGCACAGCTGATGCAGAGGGCCTAGGGTAGGAATGTGCTGTATGCTAAGCCTAGTTCTAGGCATAGGAGTGAAAGCAAGAAACGACTGGACCTTTTCCTCTAATTCTATGAGTTTGTAGAGGCTAATCACAGACCCACTTTAAGAACTAGAGAAATGAAGCTTGAGGAACTCAAGCTTCTGGGTAGGGTTATCTAGCTGGGATGGGACACAGACATATCACTACTTGGATAGCTGGACAAGTGACTGCCGTCCCTGCCTGTTTCCTCATCTCTAAAATGAAGGTATCCCCTCTTAGGAGTTGATGGGAGGACAAGAACATTAAGTTCCAGGAACACACAACCTGCTACCCCAACTTGCCTCCCTCAGGTGTTACCATCCAAATGTCCCTGGACTTTCTTCCCTCACATCTAATCCTTAAGATGTGCCTCCTATCCTTCATTCTGGAATGCTTCACCTCCCACTCTTCCCCAGTTACACTGACCTTAATTTAAGACATTTCTGCCTCAGGGCCTTTGCACGGCCTGTTTCTGCTACCAGGAGCTCCCCTCCATCCCCCCACCATGGCACGTCATCACTCAAGTCTGCTTAAGCATCAAGTCCTTAAGAGGCTCGGGTTCTCCCAAAAACGTTTGGCACGTACTCTTCATCTGTCTTTTATCTTCCTAATGGCTCTCTGTCACCATTTTTCACACCGTAGGTGCTTAACTTAATCCTGAGGTCTGTTTTGCGGCTAGGAGAGCATGCACGTAAATCCACAACAATGCAACCCATGTGATAAAAGCTCGAAGGAGTAAGCACCCCTAGAGCACAGTTCACACGGTAGACCGCCCGGGACGTGGGTCCTACCGCCTGCATGCACGCACCTGGCCTGACGCTTCTGCTCCTTTGCCAGCTGCTGTAGGCGCAGCGATTCCTGCATGGTCGCCAGGCTTGGGCACCATTCACGCTCCTCTTCCTCCAGCTCGCGCAGCTGTTCCCGCGACGGCCACAGGGACCCCGAGTCCACTCCCGAGGCGGCGCCGTGCCGCGCAAACTGTTTGGCCGTGTAGCGCGGCCCCAGTTGCCAACGCGGGGTCAGGGGGTCGTCTGGATCCGGCCACCAGGGCCCCGGCGAGCGGCGCGGGGGCGGGGGCGCTCTGTAGCCACGGGAGCAACGGCCGACTGTCGCCACCAGCCCTAACAGGCCGCGCACGGGCCGCCCGGGCGCCGCCATCTTGACCGTGCCGGGTCTTCGCGGGCGCGGGCTGGCCACGGCGCTGCCTGCGCGAGAGGTCCGGTGGGGCGGGGAGAGGGGTGTCCTTGCTGCCTCAGTTTGGGTAACGGCGAGTAGTATTTTTTTGCATTTTCAATATAATTTAAAATTTTACTTTAGCAGTTATTTATTAAAACTTTGAAAATTAAATTTATATTTTAAGTTATAATGTATTTTGACATTGAAATATACTTAAATATTTAAAGTATTTAAATATTTCAAAGTTAAATCAATCTACACATTCTATTTTAATTTAATATTTAGAAATGCTTTCAATGTTTGTAAAATAGCGCCTGCTTGGTGGTCTAGGGATTGGGTCTCAGCGCCATGACCTCCGTGCCTGAGTTCAGATCTCCGGCCAGGGAGCTAACCCACATGGCGCAGCAGACCTCCCCGCAACAGTGTATTTGTCAGTCCACCTGCTCTGTTCCCCACTCTGTCTCTGTGAATCCTCTCACGCTCCACACTTCTGGCCAACACCCCAGTTCTACGAGCAAAAAATTTAAAAAGAAATATATATAAATATATTTCAGTCAGTGTATTTCTGCTCCCCGCTCTGTCTCTGGTGAATCCTCTCACCACCCGCACTTCTGGCCTGTACACCAGTTCTTGTATGCATAAATAAATAAAATATTTTTAATTAAGAAAATAAAAAATGTAAATACTTACATTTTACTTTATATATTGTTCATAATATTTTATGCTTTTTAATTTGATTTCTAATATCTTAATTAAAAATTTCATTTTAAATAATTATCTGAAATTTGCCTGGATACTTATTTATTAATATTATTTTTTAGTCTTTTTAAAAAAAGATTTATTTATACAAAAACTGGGGTATAGTCAGAGGCTCGGGAGAGTGAGAGAATCCACCAGAGACAGAGCAGGGAGCAGACCAGGCAGATGGACCAAAGACACTGCTGAGGGGAGCAGTGGGCAAGACAGGAGAGGTCTGCTGCGCCTTGTGGGCTTCTCCCTGGCTGGCCTGGAATCAAACCTGTGCTGCAGAGGCTGTGGACAGCTTCACAGTGCGGCACTCAACCAGCTTCGCCACCAGGGAGGCCCTGGACACTTATTTTAAATAAAAATTATTTTAAAGTTATTTAAAATTGTATGTTATTTAAGATGTCTGTATATAAATTTTGTAGGTGCTTCATTACTTTATGCTTTTTAGATTTTTTTGTATTTTGAAATGTTTAAAATGCTTGATTTTATCCACAGCTAAGTGGTTCAATTGCTCTCAGACCTTATAGCACTGGAAAAATAAGGTATCTAATTTTCTTTTTGAGGCTATCTGTTACTGCAGATAACCCATCCTGAGCAAGCAGAAACCTCTAACCTTCAGTGGAGCCCCTGGGCTGACTAGAGCCAGAAGACTGCAAATGCAGATGAGAGGAGCTCCTGAGGTGGAAGATGGGAGCCCGCCAACAGAAATGTATAATTTTATTTATCTGAAAAGCCTCTTCATACTTTTTCATGCAATGAACTTCAACTAAGTCCACATTTCTTTGGCTTTAGCTTTCTCCTTAGCCAATAATTTTAACTCCTTTGTTTTCAAACCTAGTCCCTAAAACTTGTATAACCTCATCTCTTTTTTTTTTAATATTCATTTTATTTATTTATGCATTTAAGAGCTGGGGTGTAGGCCAGAGGTGCAGGAAGGGTGAAAGGATTCACCAGAGACAGAGTGGGGAACAGAACAGGTGGATTTACTGAAATACACTGCTGAGGGGAGCAGCAGGTGAGACAGGAGTGGTCTGCTGCGCCATGTAGGTAGCTCCCTGCCTGAATTGAACTGGAGCTGCAGTGGCTGCAGATAGCTTCATAGTGCTGCAACTTAACCCCTGTGCCACCGCCAGGGAGGCCCAACCTCATCTCTTTTCTAACCTAACCTGGGAGGCAGATTTGAGATTACCTCCTGGTGTTTGCCAATTGGATTTGCAATAAAGTTTCTTTTCTCCAAATCTGCTGTCTTGGTGTCAGCATCTATTCAGGTCCAGTAGTGAGTATAGTGCTTGGTAACCTGATCCTGGCGTAGAAATTAAACATTATTGTATAGAAGGATTTCGGCCTTTAAAAGGAAGGAAATTCTGACACACTACAATGTGGATGAAACTGAAAACATTATGCTGAGTGAAATAAGCCAGTCACAAAAGGACAGATAATTTATTTGAGATTCCTAGAGGAGTGAGATTCAGAGAGACAGAACATAACACGAAGGGTGCCAGGTACCACAAAGACTAAGAATAGTTACTGCTTATTAAGAACAGAGTTTCTGGGACTCCCTGGTGGTCTAGAGGTAAAGTGTCAGTGCTATCGCTAAGGCCTGAACGGGAAGATACCCACATATGCGCAGCAGACTTCTGTCTCACCTACTGCTTCCCTCAGCAGTGTATTTCAGTAAAAAAATCCTCCTGTTCTGCTCCCCACTCTGTCTCTAGTGAATCCTCTGACCCTCCACACCTCTGGCCTATATCACAGTTCTTCTACGAAAAATAAATCTAAAAAAAAAAAAAAAAAGGGCCTCCCTGGTGGCGCAGGGGTTAAAGACACAGTGCTATCAAGCTATCACCAAACACTGTGGCATGAGTTTGATCTCCGGCCAGGGAGCTGACCTACATGGCGCAGCAGACCTCTCCTGTCTCGCCGGCTGCTCCCCTCAGCAGTGTATTTCAATACATCTGCCTGTTTTGCTCCTCACTCTGTCTCTGGTAGATCCTCTCACCCCCCACAGCTCTGGCCTACACACAAGCTGTGTGCATATATAAATCTTAAAAAAAAAAATTTAATAGCTCTGACCCCCAACCCCCATGCAGTAAAAAAATACAGGTATGACTTTTGACTCTCCCCAAATACAACTACTGTTGACCAAGGAGCCTTACCAACAGCACAGTGGATGAGCACATGTTTTGTATATTATCTATATTATGTACTATATTTTACAATAAAATAAACTAGAGAAAGCTCTAGTGGTAGGGTCATGTCAGAGGCAGGACTGACAGAAAAGCACTTTCTGTGCTTTCCCAGGCCACTCCCTCCTGATGAAGGCAATGGCTACAAAATTCCTGCACCCAATCATCCTTGGACCACCCCCTTGGGCAAGGACACCGTGTGCCAGAGGATCATCCAGAACTTTTGTTTCCACCATCTCTCCAGCAGCCACTTGCGAAGGTCAACATAGAAATTGGTAATATGGCAAAGCAGAAATAGAGAAAGATGTTTCAGTTCCAGATCATATAATCACACATCTAATCATATCAGAGGTGGACATTTGGCATGATCAGCATCAGCTTCCTGATGGTTTTCCTAGGACATTAGTTCAAGCTGAAGTCCTGGACAAAATCTATGATGTGGATTTGGAAACACTCAAAGATTGTCCCAGTTGATGCTGAATTCACCCTCATAGTGGAAGGGTATACAATCTCAGTTTCTGTTCCTGTGTGCATGGATTGATGGCATCGTGGAGGAATCATTAAACCAGCAGGAGGATGATAAACCTGAAGCAGTTGCTACCAGGTTAAGACAGTACAAAGATGTGGCAAAGTCAGTCATTGAATTCATTAAGAACTGAGGAATGCTCCCCCAATTTGGGAGGATGGAGCCAGCAAAATCTGGCCCTATGTTTACATGATTCTCTAGGAAAAGAGCACACCCATTGAGTCCAATGAAGGTTAGCATCTGCTCAGTGAAAGAACCAGGATGATGTCATTCATTTGATTGTATGTATAGTGTGCCGTGTTCCAATTAGAAGCTAGCTGAGATAGCTTGCAGTGTCTTTTCTAGTTTTAATGGGCAACTGATAAGAAAACTAATAAGTATAAAGAGGCTTTCCTCACCTTTCCAAAAGAAGAGTCACCTACACCTGTTTAAGATGTCTCTGCACAGGTCTCAAGCACCCCCACAGGAAAGCAAGCATGAAATGGATTTCAAACAGTGTGTAGCCCAAACTCCAGCTGAGTTTATATATATATATATATATATTTTTTTTTTTTTTTAAAGACCAGGTTTATTAGGGAAAGGGACAGAAGAATATAGGACATTTGCACAGACACAAGCCGGCAGAAAGAGCTGCCCCGAAAGGGACAGGTGTGCTGAGAGAGGCCTGCATGGTTGCAGGCAGGTGGCCTTGAGGAGAGCGGCCTCCACTGAGGGAGGTCAGTGAAGAGAAGTCCCTGCAGATACAGGTCACAGACAGGCAGGAAGGCTGCTGCCCTGCAGAGGGAGAGAATTGGTGAAAAGAAGCACCTTCATAGTCACAGGTGGGCAGTGAGAGTGCTGCTCCAGCTGAGTTTTAACTGTTATGTTGTTGCCATGCTAGCCTTTTTATGTGTGATGGTGGTGGACTCTGGTTCTCCCTATCCCCAAAAGCTGCTGACCCTCAGCACCAGCCAGCCTGTCTCAGGTTCTCTGATTGTGACCCCTTGGTGACAGTGAGATTAATGGCAGTTGCTCTCAGTGGTCACTTCTCTGGCCTTGAGTGGTTGTGTCCACAATTCATATTTTTGTTAGGAGTGACAGCTTCTTTGTATCCATGTTACAGAGAATCTCCCCTTTTGAATCTTGCATGCTCATATTTATTGCAGCACTCCATGCAATAACCAAGCTGTGGAAACAACCTAAATGCCCCCAAACAGGTGAGTAGATCAAGAAGATGTGGTAAATATATACACTATGGAATATCATTCAGTGATCAAGAAACTCATGCTATTTGGGGCAGCATGGATGGAACTGGAAGGGATTATGCTAAATAAGCCAGAAGGAGAAAGATAAATACAGGGTGGTGTCACTTATTTGTGGAATGCAAAGAAACCAAATAAAGGGTCAAAGACAAACTTTATGACCATCCATTGAAAACTGACCATAGATCTGAGGCATGCAGAGGGAGAGGGAGGGGCAAGCACAGAGGGAGGACTATGGAAGCTTCAGTGCTCAGTGTTTGGTATGCTGGGGTGACTATGCCT